TGAGTGAATTATTATTGTAAGTAAACATCTGTAAGAGATGAAAAACTGGATTACACTCAATATTGATTGCATTGATATTAATTGAGCTAAAGATGTAAGATAAATGTTTATAGAGAAAAACATACTTTCTTACTACTTTCAAACGCACATCGGGACATCACTGCTGTTCCTCACAGCTGAACGTTACAGGAGAGTTAAAGTCAAGCTGCATGATGCTGTTTCTGTCAGAGAGCAGTGCTCACTGGTTTTTACAGTGCATTGTGAGAACTTTCAGGGAGCTAAAGTTCCAGTGCACCGGACTGATTTTGACAATGAGACACTCTAGAACATGGCTGACTCCCTGAGCAGAACCCTGCCTACTGAACTACGGAGCTCTGAGACACACAGATGTGGGGAGAAGTTTAAGCTGGGGGTTGAAATTTTAAGCAGCGTATATGAGACGTAAATGATGACATCATGCAAAACGCTTTGACTTTTTATTATCACTTTAAAATAAGACTACTCTTACAAAGGCATATGAATGGTTTAAAATAAGTTAATGGTTATTACTTAGGTCATAAATACTTTCAAAATTATTAATACGCAGTTATAGCACATTAATTAAATAGTGAGCTGTGATATCTGATGATCATAATATGTGATGATGCTGACAGTTTAATTCTGATGATGAAGATGCCAAAGTAAGTTCAGTAAACATCGAAATCTGAGTTTTAACAGTATCCTGACACTGCTCTTATTTATGAATGGTTTAAAATAAGTTTATTAATGGTTAATAATTAGGCTATAAACACCTAATAATCATTAATAAGCATTTACAACACAAATAAAAAGGGGCAGCAGTGACTTCTGTGACTTCAGTAAACCATAATTTATACTGCTGAAGTTAAGATTTTAATGTTTACTGATCTTAGTGTCAGAATCAGTCAGAATTAAACCATCAGGATCATCACATTATTAATATTCATCAGATAACAGCTCACCTTTTTATTTATGTGCTTATTAATGATTTGAAAGTGTTAATGACCTAAGTAATAACCATTAATAAACTAATTTTAAACAACTCATAAGCCTTTGTAAGAGTAGTCTTATTCTAAAGTGGTACCATCTTTTTTTTAATTAATTAATTAATTTGGCTAATTTACATCAAACACAATGTGTCATGCAGTGCTGTAATGAGAGGATGTAAAGTGATATCCAGTCTTCTCTCTGCTCTCTCATTCTGGATGAACTTTATGCAAATGAGCTGAGTGGTGACCAATCAGATTCTTTATGTGTGGCGCAGTAACCCACTGTATCATGCCATGAGATTTAACACTGGAACACACACAGAGTGGGAGAGATAATGGTGGATAAAATCCTTACTAATAATATTATTAGATTAGATAATTATTTTTAAGTTTAAAACCAATATTAGGCTGTGTTTGGGACCAGAAATGGCCTGAAACTTTGCACAGACTTTCTCTCTTTGAAACTCAACTGGTGTGTGTTTGAATGACACCCCCAAAGCGGCCAGTTTTCAGCTCACTGTTAGAAAATATGAAAATATGGCGTTTACTTAAACAATCGGGGCTATTGCAGATTTTGATAAAAATACAAACTCCGCTCTAAAACAAGCACATCTACTAGACTTTCTCTCAGTCACTGTGTCGTCACATCTGGCTGTAAACAGTAGCGCTATGGAACTTCTGTCTGAACCATTTAACAGAGCGGTGATTGAGAGTCGCTGATTTTTAGCCTCCCTCGAAAATCTTGCTTCAACCTCAGACTAGTTTGACTTGGCCAAAGTGCATCACACTAAACTTAAAAACATTTAAACTCTGTAAGACCTGCACGTTTGTGCTGTTTACCTCTGAGCAGTGCTCAGGGGCAGCTGAGTAAATGGAGTTCGCCGCAGCAGATGACTGTGTCATCATCCCATGTCTAAGAGTGATCTCCATGTTAAAGCAGCTGCGTCAGACGGTGGAACGTATTCCACAAAAATCCACATCTGAACCATAAGGAATCTGCCAGGAATTTTGCTAAGCGAGGAAGGAGCACTTCACACCATGTCACACATCCCTTAACAGATCTGCACTCATTGCGCTTCATTTTGGAGAAAAAGTCCACCAGGTTTAATTCTTCATACTCAGTCCATGGAAACATTAGCAACATTAGCAAGAACATCACAACCAGCTCAGAGACACAGCGTCATATTTCTACATTACAGTAAACTGATCACTGAGCTAGAGTGGTGTCTGTTTTTTAGGGTTTCAATCAAACCTCTGTGATCTCCAGGACTGTACATAGTCATTTTTAATCACAAATGTGAGTAAATCTATCCTGCTGTTCAGCCCACTTTCACTCTCCAGTTCAGTTTTACCTCTTTTTTGATTGGTTACCTCGTCAAAAGTGACGCAGAACTTTTCAGCTGAGGTTGAAATTTTTGAACTGATTTGAAACTCAGGAGAGGCTGTTCAGTTAAATTATTGGTGCATTTGAGAGCACAGCAATGATTCTGGGCAGTATCAGCCATTGTTTACAGTGCATCTGGAAGCAGTTTAATGCTACTATTTACACTTCCACATAATTAGGTGGCAGTGGATTTAAGGTGGCAGTGAATTTAAGGTGGAAGTGGAATTAAGGAGGCATTGGATTTATAGGAGCAGTGGTTTCAAGGTAGCAGTGAATTTAAGGTATTAGTAAATTTAAAGGTGGCATTGGATTTGAGGTACCAGAAGATCCAGCTGGCAGTGTTTTGAAGTATCAGTAAATTTAAGGTGGCAGTATATTTTAGGTGGCAGTGAATTTAAGGTTTCAGTGAATTTAGGGTGGCAGTGGATTTGAGGTATCGGTAAATTTCAGGTGGCAGCGAATTGAAAGTGACAATGGTATTTAAGGTAGCTGTGGATTTAAGGTAGCAATAAATTTAAAGTTGCAGGAAATTTAAGGTGGCATTGAATTTAAGGAACCAGTGAATTTAAGGTATCAGTGTATTTAATAGCATAGCATCCTCCTAGCAACACCTTAGCAGGAACCTGGGACACCATAGCAACCACCTCTCACCATCTAAGTAGCACTTTAGCAACAACAGTCAACGTTTTAACACAATCCGCTGGCTTTTTTTTCAAGGCAACTTAAAGTTCGTTCACTTTCCCTTTCTAGTTATTATTATTATTTTAAATAGTTGCAGTCCTAAAATCAGGGGTGCTGCAGCTCCCTCAGCCTGCCTTTCCTGCATCCCTGCTGAGACACACCCTGAATTCTTCTGTATCACATTCGGAGAATCACTTCTTCTGTTCAGTCTCTGGAAACACGTTACACCACACTAACGTGAAAGTGGGCGTGGCCTCCTACACCAACAAATGACCTCCACATTAGTTACAGTTTGAGTGAAGAAGGTCAGTAAATGCTGACTCTGAACAGAAATGACACAGTTCAATTAAATTTATGCAGTGATTTATTTTTTTGAGTGGACGTTGGGCTCCGGTGTCCTTCATAACAGAAATGCTAAAATCTCACACACACACACACACACACAGACGGGGCTGTGAATCGGACTCCTGAAAGCACTTTAATTTTGTACTGATCTAACTGTCAGTTTCTGGCCCTGGCTGTGAGAGCACTGCCCCCTGATGGACACACGGAGATGTCCTCCAGATTACTGCTGACTTTTCTATGTAAAAATGTATTTAATTCAGATCAGAATTCTTCATTATGTTGGTCATTAAGCTGGAGTAGCAGAGCTGGACAGACCTAAACACTCATTTATTTCAGTTTCTGCTTGTCACTTAATTACTTCAGTGTTATTATATTACAGGCATGCAAATTAATATGCAAATGAAGCGCTGTCCTGAAACTGGTAAAGTTAGAGAATAAACAAACACACTGGATAACAACACACACACACACACACACACACACTAAAACACACTAAAACACACTAATACACACATTCACTTATGTGTGTAAACACAAATACAACAGTACACATGAACTCACACTTTGCGCATACCCCCATATATGTGTGTGTTTGTCATTGTAATTGTAGTATGTTAGTGTGTGTGTAAGTGTTTGTTTGTATGTTACTGTGTAGCAGAGTGTAGCAGCGTATAGCAGTGTGTACTTGTATAGCAGCGTGTAGTTGCATGGTGCTCACGCTGATGTTGTATTCTGCCTACAGCACTCTGTGTGTATTAGAGTAAGTGTTGTGTGTAGTTAGTTAGTGTGTATAATAGTGTGTATGTTAGAGTGTTAGTGTGTAGTAATGTGTAGCAGTGTGTAGTTGTATAGTTGTGTAGTACTCATGCTGTTGTTGTATCTTACCCCCAGCACTATGTGTATTAGTGTTTTTTGTAGTAAGTTAGTGTGTTTGTTAGTGTGTATGTGGTGTGTATATTAGTGTGTATGTCAGTCTGTAGCTTTGTAGCAGTGTGTAGTTGTGTAGTACTCACACTGTTGTTGTGTCCTGCTTGCAGCACTCTGTGTGTATTAGAGTATGTGTTGTGTGTAGTGAGTTAGTGTATATGTGGTGTGTATGTGGTGTATATATCAGTGTGTATGTGTGTATGTCAGTGTGTAGTTGTGTGTAGTTGTGTAGCAGTGTGTAGTTGTGTAGTTGTACTCACGCTGTTGTTGTGTCCTGCACTCAGCACTCTGTGTGTGTTAGAGTATGTTGTGTGTAGTGAGTTAGTGTATATGTGGTGTGTATATTAGTGTGTATGTCAGTGTGTAGTTGTGTAGTCGTGTGTGGTTGTACTCACTCTGTTGTTGTGTCCTGCCCACAGCACTCTGTGTGTGTTAGAGTAGGTGTTGTGTGTAGTGAGTTAGTGTGTATGTGGTGTGTATATTAGTGTGTATGTCAGTGTGTAGTTGTGTGTCGTTGTACTCACGCTGTTGTTGTGTCCTGCCCACAGCACTCTGTGTGTAGAGTAAGTGTTGTATGTAGTGAGTTAGTGTATACGTGGTGTGTATATTAGTGTGTAGTTGTGTGTCGTTGTGTAGTTGTGTGTGGTTGTACTCACGCTGTTGTTGTGTCCTGCCCACAGCACTCTTGCCTGACTGTGAGCTGAGTCTCCGATCAAAGCCACGCTGGACGTCCTGATGGACGACACTTTCAGTCCTCCGCTCGTTCTGTCCATTCCGTTCACTCCTCCGTCCGCTCCTCCGCTCCGTCTCTCTCTCTGCTGTGCTCTCTCTCCGTCCTCACTCGCTTGGCTGATCTGTCTATCCCGTCCATCTCTGAGCTGGACGGTGTGAGCGGTCAGCAGTGTTAGAGAGTAAAACAGCAGTAAACTGGACAGTCCCATCACACCAGCCGAGTAAACATAAACAACAACAGCAACAACAACAGCAGCAGTAGCAGCAGGAAGTCCACCCGATAAACACACAAACACAACAACTCTCCCAGCAAAATAAACAAAAACAACAACTACAACAACAACAAGTCCATCAGCTCAGATGCAGCACGAGGGCTCCACTGGCTCTGAGCGCGACTGAGTGAGCCAGAGAGACTGAGAGAGAGAGAGAGAGAGGGAGAGAGAGAGAGAGCTCCACCTCTCTAGCACCAGCGCTCGCTCGCTCTCTCACACTCACACTGTCTCTCTCTGTTCCACTCTGTCTCTTTCTCTCTCACTCTCTCTGTTCCACACACTTTCTCTGTCTCTCTATGTTTCTTTCTCTTGCTTTCACTCTTTCTTTGTTCATCTATCTCTGTCTTTCTCTCTTTCACTCACTCTCTCTCCGTTATCCTTTCTCTCTCTCTGTTACACTCACACTCTCTGTTACACTCCCTCTCTCTTTCTCTCTCTCACTCTCTCTCTCTCACTCTCTCTCTCTCTGTTACACACACTCTTCCAATCCTTTTCTCTCTGTCTTTCTCTGTCTCCTCTCTTTTTCTTTTGTTTTTCCTTTCCTGTGAGTGAGTGTGTGTGTGTGTGTGTGTGTGTGTGTGTGTGTGTCTGTGTGTGTGTCTGCGTGTGTTTCAGTCATTAAGTGGAATAAAACATTTTATAGAGTCAATCAATATAACAGAGAGAGAGAGAGAGAGAGAGAGAGAGAGAGAGAGAGAGAGAGAAAAGAGAAAAAGGAGAGAAAGAAATAAAAAGGGAGAGAGAGAAATATAGAGAGAGAGAGACAGACAGAGAGGGGGATGAGTGAAGAGAACAGTCTTTTCTTTGGCAACTTAAAATATGTACCAATTCACACATACACACACACACACACACACACTCACACACACACACCACTGTCTGAAGAACTGTTTTTTAAGAGTGCAGCATGAAAATGACGGGAGTGTGAGAGTCAGTGTGTGTCAGTAGGAGGATGGAGGGATGAAGAAAGAAAGGATGAAGTGTGAGTGGAGAGAAGCTCAGTCGCAGGTCAGCTCTGTGATGACTAGCTTCGGAGGACCAAACCTGCAGATCAGTGGAGAAACACAGAGTTGAAACATGAACTAAAGCCTATAGAAGGAAAAGCGAGGGATGAAAAGAAGAGCTAAAAGGAGGGATAGAGGGATGAAAAGCAGAGACGTATTTTACATCAGTGCCCAGAACCTCCACACCAAGTTTATACGTTTAGACTGAAAGATTTAATAAGAGGAGCGAAAATGTCCAACACGAAAAGATAAACAAATAGAGAGAGAGAGATAACAAGAGAGATGAAGACCGAAAGAAACAGAGAAAAAGGGAGAAAGAGAGATAGCAAGAGTGAGAGACAAAGACAGAGAGAGAAAGAGATAAAGACGGAGAGAGTAAGAGAGAGGAGGGCACGTTTCAAGAGAGAAATGATAGATTGATGTGATTAAATTAATTCTGCAAAACAGTCAAACAAATCTTTAAACAGCTTCACTGATGTGTTTAATCTGAGTGAGTTCGGCTCTCAGAGAGAAACAAACTAATAACTGATCAATCTCAGAGTCTCCGTAATTACTGAGAAGCTGAGTGTTAAACTCCAGGTTCTCACGCTCCCTTTAAAAGGACTCGCTCAAATCCCTGCACTCTCTGCTCAGATCAGAGTCAGTGTTCCTCTACAGAGGCTGTTCTGAAGCACCAGCAGTGCCAATCACAGACCTGCTGAATCTTTAACACTGTCTTAATCTCCATCCTGAAATCACTGTACACCTTCAACCACCATCGCTACACTGAGCATTTACAGCGCAATAATCAACTTTCATATGAAGGAATTATTGGAGTTATTAAGAGTTACTAAAATAATTAAACATCACTGAAGACATTTTCCTCAGACTTCTTCACTGGAGCTGATCTACCAAAAGAGTGGAAACCAGGTGGGGCATAGCTGGAGCAGTAACAGTAAAGCCAGGAACAGAAAAAATAAAACAAGATGGAGTCTCGATGAGGTGAGACCAAGACAGGATGGAGTCAGGACAAGTCAGAACCAAGATAGGACAAAGACAAGATGGAGTGGAATAAGGAAAGAATGGAGCCAGGATGGAACGAAACTGAGAAAGGGCAGAGAGGGTGGGTTTAAACCAGGATTTGAAAGAGCAAGGACAGGGTGGAATCAACATAGGATACAGACTGAACAGGTCAGAACCAAGATAGGATGGAATTGTAACGAGTCAGGATCAAGATAGGACACAGCCAGGACAGGGCGGAATCAAGATAGGACAACGTCAAGATGAAGTGGAACCAAGATCAGTGAGAGCCAGGATAGGGCAGAACAGAGATAGGATGGACTCAGCATGGTGGAAATGAACCAAGAGAGGATGGAGCTGGGACAAGATGGAATCAAGATGGGATATAACTTGGATGGGGTGGAATCAAGAGAGGATATAACTGGGATGGGTGGAATCAAGAGAGAATGGAACTGGGACGGGGTGCAATCAAGACAGGACATAGCTGGGACAGAGTAGAATCAAGAGAGGATATAAATGAGATGGGGTGGAAATTAAGATAGGATACAACTGGGATGGCATGGAATCAAGACCGGATATGACTAGAATGGGGTGGAATCAAGAGAGAATGGAACTGGGATGCAGTACAATTAAGAGAGGATATAGCTAGGATAGGGTGGAATCAAGAGAGGATATATCTGGAACGGGATGGAATCAAGAGGGGATGGAACTTGGATGGGGTGAAAACGACAGGATATAACTGGGATGGGGTGGAATCAAGATAGGATATAATTGGGATGGGGTAGAATCAAGATAGGATATAACTGGGATAGGGTGGAATCAAGAGAGGATATGACTGGAATGGGGTGGAATCAAGAGAGGATATAAATGAGATGGGGTGGAACCAAGAGAGGAAATAACTGGGATGCAGTACAATTAAGAGAGGATATAACTGGGATGGGGTGGAATAAAGATGGGATGGAATTGGGATGGGGGAAACAAGATGGGATATAAGTGGGATGGGGTGGAATCAAAAGAGGATATTACTGGGATGGGTTGGAGTCAAGATCGGATATAACTGGGATTGGGTGTAATCAGGAGAGGATGGAACTGGGATGAGGTGGAATCAAGAGAGGATGGAACTGCGATGGGGTGGAATCAAAAGAGGATATAACTGGGACAGAGTGGAATCAAGAGAGGATGGAACTGGGATGAGGTGGAATCAAGATAGGATTGAGCCAAGATAGGGCAGAACTGAGATAGGACAGACTCAAGATGGGACACAAACAAGATAGGATGTAGCCAGAAATCAACTAGAGTCCAGACAGGGCAGAACTAAGATGAGGACCTGGAATTGGGATGTGGTGGAATCAAGAGAGGACAGAATACAGATAGAATGGAACTAAGAGAGGATGGTGCCAGGATAGGGCAGAACTGAGATAGGATTAAGCTAGGATGGGAATTAGTTAGGAAGTAGTCAGGAATCAAGATAAGATAAATTTGGGAAGAGGCAGGACATAAATAGGACACAGCCAGAACAGCGTAGAATAAAGATAGCAAAAATTCAGAATGAAGTGGAACCAAGATTAGATGGAGCCACAAGAGGGTAGAATGGGACAGGGTCAAACCAACATAGGAGAGAGCTGGAGAGGAGGGGGATTCTGTGAGGGCTGGCAAACAGTACAATATGCAGGGCTATGTAGGGTGGGGGTTCCCTAGAAACACTGAGCTAGGTCGCACCCCTCCCTCAGTGAATGGAGTGCTGGTTAATTGGTTCTATATGGTTCTGCAGGCTGTTTTTGCCCCCAGTGATCCACAGCTGTGACACTGAACCACAGTTATGGTCACTGCAGGGCGCAAATGGTCACTTAGGGCATAAACATACACCTGCTCAAATAACACACACTCACATTATCATTCACACTCCTAATCACTTTATATTAGCACACACACACAAACAGTGAGGTATCTCCGCTCTTTACGGTTCTGCTGGGTGCATTTGTTTATTGCCACTGGAAAGCAAACACCATCTGCTGATCAACTGAAACTCTCTGACCCACTTACTACTGCGCACACACACACACACACACACACACACACAAACTTTAATCATTTGGTGTGTGCACACAGTTACTACAGCAGAAACACACCATTTGAGCTCCTCACACACACTACTACACATCGAATCCAAAAAAGTTGGACAGTGTTTGAATCACTAATAAAAACAAAAAGCGGTAATTTGTAAATCCATATTGATCTATATTTAAACAAAAACAGTATAAAGAAAATATGTGTCATGTTTATCTTATCACTGTCATTGTTTTTGTAAATATATTCTCATTCTGAAACTGATGCCTGCAACATGTTCCAAAAAGTTGAGGCAGCAGCAATGAAAAATTAGGAATGCTGTAAAATGTTCATTAACATCTTCAACAGAGAATGCAATCATGCTGGGCCCAGTCCTTCCAGTCCTTTATGAGCGAGGGAGGGTCAAAAATGTGTCCCCAAATAATCTTAAACGGTTTAAGATCATTGGGCCTCATTCATCAATGTCTTTCTAAGTTTTTTCTTAGATTTAGTCTTAAGAAAGGTCCTAAGAAAAAGTCTACGTCAGATTCATGACGTGTTCTTAAAGCGCAAAACTGTTCTCACCTTTGTGCTCTTGATTGTGTGTAGATTCTGTTCTTACCTAAGAGCAAATCCCAGATAAGAAAACATTGGTGAATGTCAGAATCTTTATCAAAACTGCGTAAGTGGGTTTAAGAAGAAATTTCTTCTTATGGACGGTTGGAGAATCCAAAGAAATCTCTGTGAGTAAAGTAAAAGACCTAAAACCACAACTGAATGCCCATGACCTTCGACCCCTCATTTGGCAGCTCTTTTAAAACCAGTATGTTTCTGTGATGATGTCACCACATGGGCCCAGGAAAACTTTGACAAACTGTTGTCAGTGAACACCGTCCGTTGCTGTACCTTCAAATGCAGGTGAAGACTGTACTCTGCACAGTGGAAGTCACAAATCAACAATGTTCAGAAACACTGTCGACTTCTCTGGGCTCGAGCTTATCTGAAATGGACTGATGTGTATTGTGGTCTGACAAGTCAACCGTTCA